AGGTGGATTGTAAATCTAAAAATAAAAGCTAAAACTAGCAAGTCCTTAAATAGGGAATTATAAACAATGTCTATGCACTAATAGGGAGGGGTGAAGGGGGTGAAGGGAGGGCAGGGGTGTGGGGAAAAAATAAGAACCAAGACATACCATGTAAAGGTACAAAAGCACAATGATAAATGTAACTGTACTGTTTGCTTTCAATGTACCAATAAACTTAATGGGGATGGTAGAAGAATATCTATGCACTAATAGAGTAGATCAAGATCTCTTGGTATGTAAACAGTTCTAATCTTAAAGAAAAAATGATAAGTTAGAGTGTGTTAAAATTAAAAACATTTGCTTCTCAAAACACATGTCTAAGAAAATTAAAAGGTAAGACAAAACTCACTACCAAGGCCTAAAATAATTATGTTACACACATTCTATATAGTGGAGATATTATTTTAATAATAGTTGATTTAATTTAATAATTATTTGATTTAATAATAGTCTAGCAGAATAAAAATAAATAAATGTTGTACGTTTTGACACTGCAAAAATACAGAATTTGAGACTTGAAAATGAGTAGGACACAGAAATTTGAACAATTGTGTTAAAATCATCTTACTAATATGAAAACTAAAAAGATAACTTTGACAGTTGATAAAAGGAGCAATAGCAGAATCATTATAATATTTAAAGTGAAAAGTACCAATAGAAATCTAAGTAATAATGTGATTATTAGGACAAGTAGGAATAAAGTAGAAGGTAATATGAATAACTAAATTCTTACTCATTATAGTTAGGTTTTAATAGACAATAACCATTGGTAAACTTTTAAAAATAGCCATAAAAAACATGTTATTTGGAGTTACTTGAGTGAAGAATTAAATAAGTAAAACCAACATTTAACCTCTGGGAAACTGGTTTAGAGATTTTAAATACAAATAAAATAAAAAGGAGAGGGGAACTTTGCTTTTTCTTTTATAACTATTCTCTAACATTTTAATGTTTTAAAGCACATACATTTATTGTCTTGTTTTTAGAAATATACAGATAGACACATAGATGATAAGTGATAGATAAGTAGATAGATATGGGATAGGACAGAGGAAGAAAAGTTATAACCTATAACCTATAGGTTATCACTTCCTGGTGGGATTTCAAGTGACTTCCTTCTCCATTATACCCTTCTGTATGGCTCATATATTTTATAATGAGCAGGCAACACTTTTATAAGTTTAAGAAGAAAATTATGATGTTTATCCTTAAGAAAAAAGAAAAAAAATTTACAGTGTTGACGTTGCTTAGTACTTTATTGCCTTCTGGAAAATAAGTGGTGTTAGAACTATGTTGGGAAGACACTGGTGGAAATGTTCACACTATTAACTTCTTGATTTGTATTAGTATGTCACACTGAATACAATCCACTGTTATTTCACTGGATCAATCTGGAGAGTCTTTAACCTGAAAAGTACCAGGTAGGACCAAAGAATAGTTGCCCATCAGTCAAGCAGAAAATTCTCAAAATCATAGAATTACTGTCAAATAACAACTTTTTTTTCCCAATGTCTGTGACATTAAGAAAATCCTAAAATTATACTTATGGCAGTGTGTCTACAATTTGTACTGACATAAACTCTTCTGGGATTCTTCTCTAAGACTATGTCTACACCCACAATTATGTCATCCTGTATGCAGAAGTGTCATTTTTTTCCCTCAGTTCTTGTAACTTGTTTATAGCCAATGGTGATGTCCAGAGCCATCTGTCACTTAGACACCACTAAGTATTCCCACTAGACCTTGTAGGGTTCCCACTAGAGCTGTGATACTGGTGTGTCTATATCTTAAATTAGGTGCATAGGGAGTAAATTTCATTCCTATAGAAATGTGTTTTACTGCAAATACAGTACTGTTCCAGAGAGCAGTCATCAGGTTATCTTGGCCAGTGTACATGCAGCACAACTGGGAATTATTCTCAGTAAAACACTGAATAGAAGCTCTTGCTAGTGGTTTGGACTTTGTTTGCCTACTGAAAAGACTAGAAAAAATGAATCACCTACCAAGCTACAAAAATGTAATCCACCAAAGTTAACATAATGACATACTATGGTGAAACGTTATTCATTCTGTAAGATTATATTAACAGGTTATAGTAGACTTCACAAATGGTATCAAAATGCCCCACTTCCTTTAATACTTTCATCACAACTGTGTCAGGTACTTACAATACAAATTGTATTATGTTATAGATGTGCATTTTTAAAAATTGAATTTAGGATTCTCTAGTAACCTTGCTTGAAGAAATGTGGCAAAGTCATTAAAAGCAGGAATTGGAAGTCAGACCAACCTGAGTTTGAATTCTTCAAGCTCCATTTGCTGGATGACTCCACTCCACATACTCAAAGTTAACTTCAGTTTTCTCATCTACAAAATAGGAATAAAGTACAACTTATTGACTGTTGTTATGATTAAATAAAATAATTTACATAAAATATTTAGAATAGTGGTATCTGAGTTGTCTACAACATTGAATTCTTCTGAAATTTAAAAATTACAGGTCCTGTATCTGATCCTGAAATTGGGATTTAGTTGGTCAGAGAAGTAGTTTGGACTTCTCAATAGTAAATACTGTTGAGGACTGTTGCTGGGAAGTAGGTAAGATATATCATCTATAACATGCTATTCCATTTTATACAAAAGTTCTCAAGTAATGCTAATATGCAGACAAGTTTGAGGACTACTTATAAAGTGCATAATAATACTTGCATACAGGTGATTATGGTTTATGAGTTTTAGAAACGTCATTTAACTTAATATTTGTAACCATCTTACAAAGTGGGCACTATGTTATCCCCAGTTTCCAAATAATAAGCAAGTCTGGAGATAATCAGCATAATCAAGGTCAGATACCTAGTACACAGCAGGGTCAGTATCTGAACCCAGTCTGAATTCAGAGTCTAAGTTTTAGTTATACACTTTCTCACTCAACAGAGTTTCCTGTCCATGAATCTCAGAAGCTCAAGTGAGATGTGACGTACTGACAATCTCAGTTTAGGTACAACGAGAAAGACTCTGGTTTATTATAGTACCAATTGAACAAGTCATAGAAATGACTGATCCAATCTCAAAGTGGTTTCAAACAGCTGATTAGACTGGAGGATAGCAAAGCCTACTGAGGATTGTTGCTGGGAAGTGGATAAGAGATTTCTCATCGGTAACATGCCATTCCATTTAGACAAAAGTTCTCAGCTGAATTTTTAATGGAGATTTGCCTGCCTCTTGAGTGCTAGCTAGAATTGATTACAGTTGTGTGCCACCACAAGTTTACCTCAAAATCAATCATAAATTTATTTTATTTTCTTTTTTTGAGACGGTCTCACTATGTAATTGAGACTGACCTGGAACTCACTATGTAGCCCAGGCTGGTCTCAAACTCACAGCGATCTTCCTGCCTCAGCCTCCCAAGTGCAGGGATTACAGGTGTGTGCTACCATGCCCGGCTTCAATCATAAATTTAATATAAAATTCTAAAACTGTAGAACTTCTAGGAAAAATATAGAAAAAAATCTTTGAGATTTGGTTTCTGATTAGACAAACATTTCTTAAGTGAAGTATCAAAGGCACAATCCTTAAAAAGAAAAACAATAAAATGGAACTTCTATTATTCAGAAAATTTGTTAAAAGAGTGAAAATATATCCAGAGTAAGACAAAACATTTGCAAAGCATATATCCAACATAGTACTTGTATTCTGAATAATAATAAGAAAACAACTCAACTTTTTAAAAAAAAAGAGCAAGGAGTTTGAACAGATGATCCATAAAGACATTATTATAGATAGTGAATGAGCACATAAAAGATGCTTTATACTATTAGTCGTTATCTTAATGCAAATTAAAACCACAATGAGGTATCACTTATTTGGCTAGAGCTAAAATAAGTAACAAATATTGGAGAGAATGTGAAGCTGGAATTCTTATTCATCCCTGGTGGAAACTCTGCAGCCCAACCATTCTGGAAAAAGTTAGACAACTTCTTAAGAAGTTAAACACACAAATTGTGTATTATCTATCTATTCTACTACTAAGTTTTTAGCCAAGAAAAATGAAAAAAATGTACAAACAATGACTGGTATACAAATGTTCCTAGCAGTTTTATTTGCAATAAAACTGGAAACAACCCAAATTCACTATCAACATACCAGTGGCTTTACAAATGGAGGCATCCAAACTTCAGGAATAAGAATACACACAGAAACATGGGTGAACCTCAGAATAAGTACACTGAATAAAAGGACGCCAATAATGAAAGAGTGTACATTGCATTATTCCATTTATATAAAATTCTAGAAATGGAAACTAATATAACTAACATATAACAGATCAGTGACTGCCTGGGTTGGAGGAGAGGAAGCAGGGAGAATTAAAATTAGACAAAGAAATGTTTGCAAAAGAGATTATTCTTATGGAGCTCATGTGCTGGTTTTATAGAGTATGCAGATGTCAAAATTTATACACTTTTAAAAACATCACAAGCTGGGCATGGTGGCGCATGCCTATAATCCCAGCCCTTGGGAGGCTGAGGCAGGAGGATGGCTGCAAATTCAAGACCAGCCTGGGCTACACAGTGAGTTCCAGAGCAGTATGAACTACACATTGAGACCCTGTCTCAAAAAAGCCTAAATAAATAAATAAATAAATATATCACTGTGGCAAGAATATTTAATAGGAGATTCACATCTAAAAACTTTTCAAGTGTATAATACATTACTGCTGACTATTAAACACTTTTATACACTTTAAATATGTGCAGTTTTTGGGGGGGTCAATTATATCTCAATAAAGATCTTCAAAGTAAAAAAATACAAAAAATTGTTCTGTTCTTAAATAGTTCATTAGCTATTCAGAAGAAGCATTGCATATGGTGATAACCTTTTGTTTTATACTTGTTTTATTTTATGCTGCCTCAACTGAAAATTAGCAGTATCCTGTATTAAAGAAGTTTGTATAAAATTTCACAATGCTAATTATTTTAAAAATCAATAATCAGAGGGCTAGGCAATTCCTCATTGTTCAAGAAGTAGGCAAGTCGGCCAAGCCAGGGTGGCAGGCTGTCCAGGCTCGGTCCATCATATCGAAGGTTTCCTTTAAGATCATGCTAACATCTGACCCACAGCTGCCATACAAAGTACTCAGTGTTCTTGAAAGTTCATTTTTCACAGCAGTCTTAAAGTTTGCAGCTGAAGAATTTAAGGTTCTTCCAGCAACAAGTGCAATTATTACCAATGATGGAATAGGTATAAGTCCTGCACAGACTGCTGGAAACATTTTTCTAAAGCATGGTTCAGAAATGAGAATTATCCTTAGAGTCCATGTTGGAAGTTGCTAATGCCTGCTATTGGGAGCACACAGTTACCTTTGAGAATAAAAATTGCGTTTTTGTTTGGCTGTACAGATGGAGTTGGGCATGTAACATACAATGAAAGCACCAAGGCAGTGAAACAATGAAAGATGACTCCTTTGTTCCTTGTTCACACTATTTGCGTGACCAGGAAGTGGTTATGAATGGACAGTACCACCACAGAAAGTCACACAGTGGTTGACTGCTGCCTCACAACACACAAGGGAGTTCATCAGTGGCAAACGGATTATGCAACTGTATTTTTTACCTAGTAGGTACTTCGTATAATTTTTTTCTGAGTATATTTGGAAAATTAAAATTTCCTTAGTGTTACATATTGTCTTTGAGTTAAAAATGTAGCAGGATTAGCTATTGATCATAGATGGCAGTTTGCTTGATAGCGTCATATAGACTCACATAGTTACTGTTTTTTTAGTTTGATTCTTAAGTATACATTTCATGATAAGTATAACAGACATGCCAATGAATACTTAACTATGTTTGTCATTTACATTTTAAGTTTTCAAACTTAATGTATCATATAAATTTTAATTCAATATCAAAGAACCAAAGCTTTTTAATTTCTTGATCTAACCATTATGTGTATAAACTAATGTTCCATACCAAAAAAAAAGAAAAAGAAAAAGAAAGAAAGAAAACTCAAGACTTCCCAGTACCAGCTATTGCACTCAGGACCTTGTGCTTGCCAGACAGGTGTGGCGCCACTGAGCCAAATAGTTTTAACAATATTCTGGCAGAACTGAATATTCGTCATGGTGGGAGTTGATAATATAGTAGAAGCATTTTTTGCTGAGATGCATTTCTTTAAAATTATATGTCTCTTTATCAGTTTCTTAATGCAACATTCTTATGACAAAAACCCTTAAGAAATAACTTTTTGAAGACATTATTTCTGAATGGCATTCTGAAAGAACATTGCCAGAACGAAGATCTGAAGCTCACCACAAAACTTAAAGAAATACTGACCAGAAATGCTGAGGAGTTATATTTACTGAAGACCTAACTTTTAAGGAAGTGCTAACATAAGTTACCCAAATAGATAAGAAGCCAGGAAAGTAAACGAATTGTTGAAAATTCTGTATAATATGGGTTTTCAACGTGAAGTGGTAAAGACAATAGTAAAGAGTAACAGAATGTCACAAACTGTCACAGAATATGCCAAGGGGAAGAGCAGAACTGTGGAAGGTATGTTAGAAAGACTGAAATGGAAGACAAAATACATAGTCTTAGAAAGCAAGGAATATTTCTTGTCCACACACAGACTTAAAAGTACCAATTACGAGTATTCAAAAAATGATGTCCATAATGAAAGATGTGCTTACAGAGGAAATCAGTATCTGTGCACAGTTTGAGAGGTGAATTGAAGGTTCTTAGTGATTCAGAATCAGTGCTTGACCTACTCTATTACAAATGGAGAATTTTCTAGAGCAGGAGTTTTTATCTTTCTAGTTCTTTTTAGAGATGGAAAGGCAGGCATTCAATAAATAGTTCCCAGTTTATTCATGAATAAAGGCTATGATCAGTATTTATCTTAACAAGTTTCAGTATCTTTGGTGTTGCAGGACCCAGGTTTATTGAGGAAAAAACTCTACAATAAAATGCAATAGAATCAGCATCTTAAGGATGACATTAGTACATTAAGAAATTAACAGATATTTTTTAAAAATCTGAGGATTAAACAGGATTTTCACTTATCACAGCAAACAAAGTTTGCTAAAAAGTATACTGCTATGTTTAGGAGGTTTTTATTTGAATAAAAAAAAATCTGATGTTTAAAGACCCCTATTAGGCCTCAGTTGACTAGGTATTTCTAAATTCCAATCCTTGAATTTTTGGCTTAGTTTTTTTTTTCCACTTTTTTTAACACAGAAAACTGCTTGCTGTTTGCATATATTTATGGTCTCTTGTGCTATAAAGTGATTTAATACTTTGGCTTTTTAGTTTTGAAAATTAGAATGTAGATCTTAAAGTATTATGTTAAACAACTAGACATTTTATTATTAAACAAATGTAGTCTATAAATTCTCTGTGCAGGAAATAAAAAATCAATAATCAGCTGGGGGTGGTGGTGCACACCTGTAATCAATCCTATCACTCAAGAGGCTGAGGTCTGCTTGGTTGTATAGTGAGTTCAGGGCCAGCCTAAACTACAAAGTGTGACCCTGTATTTAAAAGCAAAAAAGAAAAACAAAAAAAAGAAAAAAGAAAAAAACAATAATCGGCTGGTATATTCAGCAGCAGGCAGATTTATCTCAAGTATCCTGACCCACTTATATCATGTTTCTAAAGACATTCTGATTATTAAAACAAGAAACTAAGAAAGAGGACTCTGGAGAAAATAGGTATTTTCATGCATAAAGATGCATTTTCCACACATAAGCACCTTTAATATCAGAACATCGATTGCTAGAGCTTTGTTGGTCCTGATGGCCTTTCTTCTCAAAAGGTCAAGGGCACCGCAGGTTCTGTAAAGACAAAACTGCATTTCAACAAGCTAGTCTTGGGATTTGTTCATGATCTCTGCTTACCGTCATCAGTTACTTTACAAAGGTTACAGGTAGGTAAATATGCTAAAGGTCAATAAAACAGAACATTTTATAGAACACCCCCATTGGTTTAACATATTAAAACTGCTAGCATTCAAAAGTATTATAGAAGATGAAAACTGTAGAATTGTTAAACTTGAGACATTTGTGACACATCTCTGTGTTTTTTGTTTTGTTTTGTTTTGTTTTTTGGTACCAGGATCAAACTCAAGACCTTGCACTTGCCAGGCAGGCATGGCACCATTGAGCTGTGTCCCTGGCTATTGGGCTACGTCCCTGGCTATGATGTGTCTAAATGAGAATAGTTGTTTTTCAAATACCTACAAAGAAGATTCTGAAACATTTTTGTCTTGTACTAGGAACTAAGAAGTGAACCCAGGGTCTTCACCCTGAACTACCTCTCAAGTCCTTTTTTCTTTTCTTTATTTTTATCTTATTTACTTATTTTTGAGACAGGGTCTCACTAAGTTGCTAATTCGCTCAAATTAGGATCAAACTTACGATGCTCCTCCCTTAGCCTCCAACAGTGTTGGGATTACAGGCGTGTCACCATGCCTGCCATCATAACTTGCTTTTGCCATCTGTTTTACTGTAACTACCTTAAAAGTAAAGGTTGAAAGTAAAGCAACTATTGAGAAGTTTGAGATTGAGATTTTAATAATTACCTTATTCTAAATTAAAGCAGTTGCTATATATTTTATATCCAGATTTCTAACTTTTCAAGGAAACAAGATAACGTTAAAATACTAAAATGAAGTTCTAGAATACTTTAAACAGTTATTAAAAAGGAGAATAAAACAAGGGAAATATTCTGATGTTGACACCTACTCTGTGGTTACAGTAAGCAGCAAGGTGTGCTACTGATGAAGGAAAAAGTGGGCAGATCAATGGAATAGAAAAAAAACTTGGAAACCAGGTTGTGTTCATAGCCATATCCTGGTGGCTGTAGGATGCAAGATGCTACCTTTGGGGGTGGCTGGGCAGAGAATACAAGGGATCCTTCTGTGTTATTTCCTCTTTTTTTTTTTTAACAACTGAACATGAATTTATAATTATCTCCAAGCAATAAGTTCAATTTTAAAAATTCAATTAAAATAATAGAAAATAAAATGTAATGTTTCTTGTTTGTAAAACAAACAATGCAGAAATTTACAGTTTTTGTGGATTTCATCATGAAGCTGAATTATCATACACAAGGATGACTTAGAAAGTCCAACTCCTAGAAATTTTGGGGGTTAATTGAGCCGTTAGTGGATGGGCTTAGGGATGCTGTAGGAGTCCCGGCAATGTGTTATCCAGGGCCCTTTTCCAGGGTTGGAGGATGAGGTGTCTTCATGTGTAATGTACTGCATGCAGGTCATGGGAACAGCAATTGCACATGTGGTAAGAAAAGCAGGTTCTTCCAGAGAGACAAGAATATACTTTTGCCAATATCTATTCCTTAGTCTTGAAATGTGAAAACAGGATTCCCAGCGCACGGATTCAGCATAACATGACTGCAGCTTTTTCTTTCTTTTTTTTTTTTTTTGGTACCAGGGATTAACTCTGGACTTTGCACTTTCGAGGCAGGTGGCGGAACCACTGAGCTAAATCCCCAGCATGACTGTAGCTATCTTGAGTCTTCATTAACCCAGAATAACCTTTATTTTTCAATGCAAAGTTTCCCAGCATACTCTATGAGACGTGATAAAAAAATATGGTGAATGCTTAAATTTTTACCATAAAAGGCAATCACCATTAATTCCCCCTCAAATCTGCCCCCTTCATTTTATGCATTCTCACTGCATTGTCCTTGCCACTTTCGGAAGTTGTGTTATGTTGTGTTAGTTGTGTTATGATGGCTACTGCCTCCATGTCCTGAGTCAATTCAAAAGGTTTCCTTTTGATGTTCAGTTTGATGTTGAAGAAGAGCCAGAAGTCACAGGGTACCAGACCTGGTGAATAAAATGAATGCAAACACAGTATTGTGTTTTTCCTTTTTTTTTTTTTTTTTTTTTTTTTTT